GCAACTGTTGGAAATTCTTAAAATTTTTCAACTAAACTAACCTAACTAACTCCTAATCTTATAAATTACCTTCAATAATACTAATATAACCTTAATAAAAGCTAACCTGAGATTTCGAATTTGACTGCTGTCACAGTTGTTTATGATGAAGCACGAAGTAAGTCATAGGTCAACGTTATAGAGCATCACTTACAGGTATAATACCATTGACATCAACCTAAACCAGTCATGTAGTCGGTCGTGATYTTAAGCTCCTTATCTCGGAAATYACWTAATAATCACAATGCCTATTTCCGAGTGGGGTGAGAGGGTGACTTGGAAATTACACAATAATCGCAGTGCCTAAATCCAACTTACATCATCCTTCACAAAAAGAAATAGAACTACCTCCATATCCATAACCCATTACCTCACAGAAATATGCGTAAAGGCGGTAACCTAAGCACGTTGACACTTATTCAACAATAAGGTTTTTAYATGAGTCCTTAATCAAATGAGATATTCTACTTTACTAGAGAAGAATTCCATATGAAGATCGTAAGGGGTTTTTAAAGTTTTATGGTCAATACTACATGAGAAATATGTATCCTACTTAGTGAACAAAACCCCCTTTTCAACTCATCCTAACATGATTAACGGAATTTCCCAAGTTCATGCTCTTTTAACCTAAAACATTCATTTCATCAAGGCAAGTAACTTTTATAAAACTAAAGCATATGATAAGTGAGGTATACCGTCACATATAAGGTTTCGTAAAAAGGACGGAATGAACTCACCTTGAATGGTTTAGAGAGAAAGCCAAAGTCTGGAACTAATAGGCAGGCAAGAGAAGACTCGAAAGTGGCAWGGTTGAGTTCCTACTTCAAGAGGCAACGACAGCAAAAACGAAGAAACGAAAGGTTGGGCAGACAGACGAAACAGCACAGCAGCGATTACAGTTTGTTGTGGCTGTTTACAGTTGTCTGCTGGCTGTTGTTGGTACGGTGAAACACTACGGCAACTGCTGTTCGGGCAGGGGAAAAATGGAGAATCAGCACAGCAAAAATGTTGCTTGTTGTTTGTTATTTTGCAGCCAGGCAAAACACAGCAACAGTTGTGTGCGGGYAGACARCGGAGAAAACAGGACARCAGCGACTGYTGCTTGYTGTCCGTTGCRCGAAGGCGAGGGAACGACTGMTKTTTGGGYGAACGGAGGCGAAGARACAGCACAGCGAAGCTGCTGTYTGYTGTTGCTGTCTAYTGYTAGGCGAGGAAGCAAAGGGGCACRCAGCAGAGCTGCTGTTTGGGCGAACGGAGGCRAAGAAAYAGCTCARYGAAGYTGCTGTCTRCTGTTGGCTATTCGAAAAGGACGCAACGGCTCTGCTCCTTACTGCTGCTGTTTGCTGGACCAAGGGTTAGGAACGGTCGGAAAGCAGATGGCGTGCGTTGAGGGTATGGTGCAGACGTGGCCGAACACTAAAATGATCAACTCTAGAAGCTGTTGGTCCTTTCAAAGAGCAACCACTACACCTTCCTCCCTTTCGAACGGTGGCCGGTAGATGCTCTCCCACCCTCCTTTTTCTTTCTCCTTTCATGCTTCCTCGAGAAAAGGGGTTTTTACTTCCCTTCCTCATAAATCCTTTCTCCCTCCAACTACTGACCCCAACCATCCTATCAAAAAAGAGAAGTAGCAAGTGAGGGAGATCTAGTGGTCCCCAACTAAATACAAGAGGTAATCCCCCCCCCCCAATTTAAAAGGGCCAAATAAAACAAAAAGGGGTCCAGACTGCTAATATACATACATTAGATATGTATATATATATATATATATATTCGAAGATATATAACCAACGTACATCGAGCGAACGAGTCGGAAAGAAGGAAGGAAAAAAAATTTAGACGTGAACGGAGTAGAGAATAAGGGGGAAAAATTCAGGTGTTACAATCCTCCTTACGTTGGATTAATTTCGTCCTCGAAATTTATTTCAAACGAAAAGGAGAGGGTAACGCCTCTTTAAATCCTCTTCCGCTTCCCAAGTCACGTTTGATCATCGGTGATGCTTCCACTGAACCTTAACCATGACAATTTCTTTACGCCTCAACACCTTGGTCTTCTTTTCTAAGATGGCTTCTGGTTATTCAATGCACCGGTTGTTCTCGTCCACAAGAATTTCCGAAAGTGGTATTACACTTTCTTCTTTCGCTAAGCACTTACGAAGGTAGCACACATGGAAAGTGTTGTGGATTCCAGCCATTTTCGGTGGTAGTTCTAGTTTATAAGTTTGCAGCCCCACTCTAGCCGAGACTTTGAACGGTCCAAGGAAACGGGGGCTGAGTTTTCCATGCTTCCCAAAACGGATAATGCCCTTCCAGGGAGATACTTTTAGCATAACGCGGTCGCCCACTTGGAATTCTATAGGTCGGCTCATTTTATCTGCATAACTCTTTTGTAGATTCTGAGCCGCCTTTAAGCGCTCCTGAATACATTTCACCTTTTCGGCCGTTTCCTGCACGATTTCGGGACCGACGAATTGCTTCTCACCCGCTTCCAGCCAACATACCGGTGTTCTACACTTTTGTCCATATAAGGCCTCAAAAGGTCCCATCCCGATACTTGAATGGTAACTATTGTTGTAGGCAAATTGCACTAGGGGTAGGTGAGAATCCCAATTTCCGCCAAAGTCGATAACACACGATCTAAGCTCGTCCTCGAGGGTTTGAATGGTTCGCTCGCTCTGACCATCTGTTTGAGGGTGGTATGTTGTACTCAACCTCACTCTCGTGCCCAATTCTTTCTGCAAGCCGCCCCAAAAGTGGGAGGTAAATCGGTTATCTCGATTAGACACTATAGATAGCGGTATACCGTGCCGCGAGACTACTTCGTTGATGTATAACCTGGCAAGCTTGTCCATGGGCAACGATTCACGCATAGCCAAGAAGTGGGCGCTCTTTGTCAGTCGATCAACCACTACCCAAATAGTATCATGACCTTTTAAAGTCTTTGGCAGTTTGGTCACGAAATCCATTGTAATGTGCTCCCATTTCCACTCGGGGATCTCCAAGGATTGAAGGTTACCATAAGGTCGTTGATGTTCCGCTTTCACTTGCAAACAAGTCAGGCACTTCTCTACGTAACGAGCCACATCCAGTTTCATGACAGGCCACCAATAGGTCAATTTCAAGTCCCGATACATCTTGGTGCTACCCGAATGAATGGAGTATTTAGACCTGTGCGCATCTTCTAGTAATAGTTCACGATTGCCTCCAATCTTGGGTACCCATATACGCCCTTGAAACAACTTTAAACCACGACCATCCTCGGTCAGCAGTAAACGTTGTTTTACCATTACCTCACTCTTGAGGTTTTCTTCTTAGAGTGCTTCAGATTGCGCCATCCTGATTCGATCGATTAGACTGGACACTATATCGATCCTGGTAAGCACAGCTTTCCTCCCACTACTATACTCCTTTCGGCTTAAGGCATCCGCCACCACATTTGCCTTACCTGGATGGTATAGCAATTCACAATCGTAGTCTTTGAGCAGCTCAAGCCAACGATGTTGTCTCATGTTTAACTCCTTTTGATCAAAGATGTACTTCAAACTTTTATGATCAGTGAAAAGTGTGCACTTGGTACCATAAAGATAATGTCGCCAGAGTTTTAAGGCGAACACCACCGCTGCTAATTCCAAATCGTGGGTGGGATAATTCTTCTCGTGATCTTTTAGTTGTCTTGACGCATAGGCAATCATCTTTCCCCTTTGCATCAAGACACAACCCAATCCCAATTTCGAAGCGTTGCTAAAAACTACGAAGTCTTCGGACCCTTTTGGCAAGGAGAGAATCGGGGCCTCACATAATTTCTTTTGGAGGGTTCTGAAGGCATGTTCTTGTTTCTCAGTCCAGATAAACTTCACATTCTTCCTAGTCAACGCCGTTAAGGAAGAAGCGATCTTGGAGAAATCTTGGATAAATCTCCTATAATAACCTGCCAGGCCCAAGAAACTTCGGATCTTTGATGGACTCTTTGGCGGTTCCCAGTTCATCATCGCCTCGATTTTGGATGGGTCCACCTTCACTCCGTCTTGAGTGACTACGTGACCCAAGAATTGAATCTCTTTTAGCCAAAAATCGCATTTGGAGAATTTTGCATACAACTTCTCCCTTCTTAACAATTCGAGGACTTCTCGAAGATGTTGCTCATGATCTGATTCGTCCCTGGAATAAATGAGTATGTCATCAATGAACACTATTACTAACTTGTCGAGGAACGACCGGCACACTCGGTTCATCAAGTCCATGAATATTGCCGGCGCGTTCGTCAATCCGAAGGGCATAACCAATAATTCATAGTGTCCATATCGCGTCCTAAAAGCTGTCTTTGCTACATCATCTTCTTTTACTCATACCTGGTGATATCCCGAACGAAGATCGATCTTTGAGAAGCAACTCGCTCCTTGAAGTTGGTCAAAAAGGTCGTCGATCCTAGGGAGAGGGTATTTGTTCTTCACGGTTACTTTATTGAGTTTACGATAGTCTATACACATTCTCATGGTGCCGTCCTTCTTCTTAACAAATAGGACTGGAGCTCCCCATGGTGACGAACTGGGTCTAACGAACCCTTTCTCAAGAAGATCTTATAATTAAGACATTAACTCTTGCATCGCGGATGGAGCCAAACGATAAGGGGCTCTAGCAAGCGGAGCGGTTCCCGGAATAAGGTCGATTCAAAATTCTACTTGTCTAACGGGTGGTAAACAGGGTAAGTCTTCAGGAAATATGTCGAGAAATTCATTGACCACCTTCACATCCTCAATTCTTTTTCTTTCTAGCTTGGCATCCAACACGTAGGCGATGAATGAGGAACACCCCTTAGCTAAGCATTTACGCGCCTTTGCCATGGATAGGAGTGCTACATCTCCCTTCTTTCTTTCGCCAAAAACTAGCACTGCGTCCCCGTCCGATAAAGGAATTCGAATCAATTTCTTAGAACATAAAGTTTCCGCTTGGTTCTTTACTAACTAGTCCATTCTAATTATGGTGTCAAATCTGCCGATAGTCATGGGTATAAGGTCTACCCGAAATTCCCTTCCCTCGATTCCCAATGCGTAGTTCCTAACAACCTCACGCACCAGAACTCTACTACCATTTGCTAACTCAATGATCAAGGCATTTTCTAGAGTGTTAGGGGGCGTATGCAAGAGTTGGTATAATGTAGTGGATACAAAGGAACATGAAGCATCTGAATCAAAAAGCACATGTGCAGGTACAGAGTTAACAAGGAACGTACCCGACACCACATCCGTCGATGCTTTAGCTTCCTCAATAGTCATTTGAAAGGCTCGACCGACTGCTTTCGGGGTATTTTCTTTTCTTCCCTGGCCCCCTCCAGCCTTCATCTTCGGACAGTCATTCCTGAAGTGACCCGGCTCTCCGCATCCAAAACAGATGGGTCCTTTGATAGGACACTCATTTCGCGTATGGCCTGGTTTCCCACATTTAAAACATTTTGCAGGAGTAAAGTTGGTGGTGCACGGGCCGTGGTGTTTCATGCGGCATTTGGGGCACCACCTAGCCTCTTGTCTAGGATAAACTCCATGATTGTTGTTGTTGAGGTGGTTCGGTCTCTTGGAACGCGCGAATTGACCTTCCCACTTCCTTTTCTCACCACTTGCCACTTTCTCTTCTTTCCCTTTACTATAAACCGATTCCATGACCTTTGCCTCTTCGATTGTCTCCCTAAGGGTGGAAGCCCTGGAGTTCCTAACCATAACCATCATGTCTGCGGGCAATCCTTTTAGGTAGGCTTTTATCTTTTCTTTCTCTGTTGGAGCCACATATCCCACTAAGTTCAGTTTTTCCATGAAAAGCCGTGTATAGTCTCTCACTGACAAGTTTTCCTTCTTAAGGGTCCGGAACTCTTTTTCAATGCAGTCCATCTCTTGTTCATTGCAATATTCCTCCATTACTTTCTCTTTAAATGTGGCCCAACTCATCTTGGCTAGCTCTTGGGCCTCTATGGTTGATATAACAATGTTCCACCAGGTAAGGGCCGCACCCCTTAGCATATGAGAGCCAAACTTTGCCTTTTGACCTTCGTCACAGTCACAAGCTCGAAAGGCCTGCTCGATCTCTCGAAGCCAGTTCATGCATGCCACAGGATCATCTGACCCCATGAACTCCGGTGGTTTGCAAATTAAAAACGTCTTGTAGGAGCAAACTCTTCCCACTTGCCTTGCATCGATCGTTGCTAGCTCTTGGGTTGGGATTCCATTTCTGGTGCCCCCGGATCCCATAATAGTTACGTTCTCGGCTACCGCTTCATGCTTACGATTGTTGGCATTTCTATCTTCCAACAACTTCATAAAGAACTCTTGATGTTAGGCCATCGCTCTGTTCATCGCATTCATCATTGTGCCCATCATTCTTGACTCTAGGGTTTCCTCTTCTAACACGGGGTTAGAGGTGGCAAGGTTAACTTTGGAAACGTGGTCAACTTCACCGCCCAAGATGTGTTGTCTAGGATGCCCCCTTGCGATCGTGGTCCATGGTGGTTGATCCGCGATAGATTCGGTAACCGCGTGACCCTCCGGTGAGGTATCTCACCTACTCCGCGTATTTACCATTTTGTCTGCTATGCAAGAGATTGACAAGGAGTTAGGATAAAAAGATGAAATACGGAGTCAACATAATACGGTACCAACACAATCATAAATTTTGCAATAACAATGAGTCCAAGCACGCTTATGTAACAACTTACTCAAAATAACATTAGCTAAGTGGAATTTTGAACAGGTTATACATAAGGATCCTCAACCCATCGCCACAATTCATGAATTATACATTTCCGTTGACTCTAAAGCTCCCTATCTTAAAGGTTCTACCCACCTCACACAAATTAACATTTATAATTCAGCTTAATTATAGGCGTCTTAATTCCATACCTAGTTCGCTTAAACTAGAACTCTGATACCAACTTGTTACACCCTAAGAATAGAGAAAAAAACATGAGATAAAAAGGAATAATATGGGTCAAAGAAAAACATAGCGGAAGTTAAAGTTTGACAAGGATTTACCTAACAAAGGTAGGTAATATAGTGTTTACAAAACATCCAACGAGACGATAATTAACAACATATTATTCTAAACAATTCTATGTCTAGATTAAGAATGAGTGTTTCTACCATCTCCAACAAAATACGAAATCAACCATTATTGCAACGCTCAAAACACCAAGTGTTTTAACTACAAAAATGTACATTATGAACACCAATCTTCTCAACTCTCTGATACCCGCCGCTAAAGAAACCTGATAAGCATGCCAATGAAGAAGAGGTGTTAGGCTTACGCCTAGTGAGTTCCAAAGGTGAAGTAAATACACTTATAAAAAGAATCTTCATATATATATATATATATATATATATATATATATATATA